AGTTCCGTCAAGGCACATGCCCCTGCATCCCTTAGGAACCTCTTAAAACCACCTCCTGGCCAGGCGGTGGTGGCGCACGCCTTTAATCCCAGTACTCGGGATGCAGAGGCAGGCGGATCTCTGTGAGTTCGAGACCAGCCTGGTCTACAAGAGCTAGTTCCAGGATAGGCTTTAAAACCACAGAGAAACCCTGTCTCGAAAAACAACAACAACAACAACAACAACAAAAAACACCTCCTGAGTTAGCACTTGCTTTAAATGTTTTTTTTTTTTATTTTATTTTTATTTTTTTTATTTTTCGAGACAGGGTTTCTCTGTAGCTTTTGGTTACTGTCCTGGAACTAGCTCTTGTAGACCAGGCTGGCCTCGAACTCACAGAGATCCGCCTGCCTCTGCCTCCCGAGTGCTGGGATTAAAGGCTTGCGCCACCACCACCAGGCTAAAAATAAATTTTTTATATTTATTTGTGTGCATGCACATGTAAGGAGAGCAGAGACCATCCTGGGGAGCGTTCTCTCTTCTCACCATGTGAGACACAGGACTGAACCCAGGTCGTCAGGCTCGGAAGCAAACACTTTACCCATTGAGCCATTTTGCTGGCTTTTCCAATATAGTATTGATTTGAAGTATTCTGCCTTTCATTCCCAAGAGAAAACTCATTCTTGTGCTCTTACTCTGTGTTCTAAATACATGGTGGCTCTTTATGTATCTACCAAAGGAATGGGACCAGACAGACTGTCCCTTGGGAGGGCACGCGTTCCTAACACAGTCTCTGCGATCAGTCTGAGCGACAGAACCTAGACAGATCCCTCCTGATGCAATCCCTTCCAGACTGGCCTCAGGTTTCCCCTCATTTCTGATTCTTCCATCCTCCCCTCCCCAGTTGAGGCTTCCTCTACCGGGGCTTCTGTGGGACTTTTCACGTGGTCAGAATGAGGGGACCCTCCCTCCCCTTCCCTCAGGTAAAGCCCAGAAACAGCCTGAGCAAGTTTTGGTTCCTCTTTTTCATTCCGTGGTGAAATGAGACAGTTGCGTGTGGACAGACTGTGATGGTGATGCTCTGGTCACACCGAGTTTATGGCTCGTAGTGATTGTCTGTGAGGTAGGGCCAGGGAAACTAAACACTGGAGCTAGGACCTGTGTTGTGGCGGCCCCACCTCCTGAGGGCTGGAGATCTACATCATCACTAGCCTGTGTGGGTGCCCAACCAAGGCCCTGCTTCCAGGCATGCCCAAAGACCTCTGTTTGGAGGTGTGAAACGAAACAGCCCACAGTGGTTCTCCTAGGCCGACTCTCCTCCAGGTCCACCGAGACCCCTGGGTAATAGGGTGACTTCCTGTCACATCTACTCTGGGCACCAGGGTCTTCCTTCCTGGGTCTTAGCCGTCTAGAAGTTTTGTTCAGATCTTGTACTCATAAGGATTAATGGCCCGCCTTAAGCTAGCAGGTGTTCACGAGGTCAAAGGTGATCATTGAATTTCAGAGGACAAAGGGGGCTTGTGCAACGCCTCAGTGGGTGGGGCTTGTTATACAAGCCTGATGACCTGAGTTTGACCCCCAGAATCCAAGGTGAAAGAAGAGAAGGAATTCTCAAATGATCTCCTCTGACCTTCACACAGCAATCATGTCAAACACGTGTCCTCATACAATACACACTAATAATAATAATAATAATAAATTCATTAATATAAAAGGTGGGCAGGGAATAGTGTAGTATACCTTTAACCTCTTGGGAAGCAGCAGCAGGCAGATCTCTGTGAATTCAAGGCCAGCCTGGGCTACCTAACAAGTTCCTGGACAGGCCGGACTACAAAGAGATCCTTTCTCAAAATTAATTCATTAACTAAATTAATTAAAAATAATAAAAAAGAGAGGCTGGCGAGAGAGCTCAGTGGGTAAAGGCACCTGCCACCAAGCCTGAACACTGGAGTTCAATCCTTGGGATAGACACACTGGGAAGAAAGAACTAAATCCCACAAGTGCATGTGCACATGCAGGCACATGCATACACACACACTATAAATAAACAAATGTAAAAAAATGTACATAGGTCAAAGGGATGGGCGTGGCTTGACTTGTCAAGATCCCTGTTTCAAAACCCAAAGTTGGAGTGTAGAGCCTAGAGATCTGGGAAAGTAGGCTAGTAATCATTTGGGTCAAGGGCAAGGAGTGGGGAGCAGGAAATAAAATCAGTGGGAGAAACTCTGCAGACTCCCCAGAAAAATGGCTAGTTAAGACCTCAACTTCCTACCACAAGGCAGAAAATGCTCCTTGGGAGAGCCAGGGATGCATGAGGTCTTGGTTTCCAATTCAGTATAAGAAACAAACTGAGTAAAAGAGAAACCCACAATTTTATTGAGAAGCCACTAATGCAAGACTCTTGTGCCTCTGTGCTGCCATCCAGGACACCTGCACCGTGGCAGAGTGGGCAGTGTGCCAAGGCTAGTTAGGACCTTTCGGGTGGGCAGGGCCAAAGCGGAGGTTCTGTGTTCCAGAGTGTCAGCTACCCCCGAGGAGAGCACACGGGAGGCAGGTGAAGGCAGGGTGTGCCTGATTGAAGGGACCCAGGGCCAGGATTGTCTTAGGATTCCCAGCTAGACCCTATTTAGATCCTAGCTGAGGGCCTTTGCTTTGATATGTGTCATGGAGAAGTTGCTAGGCTTCTCTCCTCATAACGTAGGTTTGCTGCATGTCGTAAACCCCCTCTGCTGTCCCTCTGCCCCCTGCCACCACCTGTCTCTAGTAGGTCACACAGTGAGGTGCGGTGTGCAGTTAGGGGAAACTCTTGAGGTTTCTCAGAAGCCAGGGACGGCCAGGTCTCCAGGTGGTTACAAAGGCATCCAACTGGGTCAGGGCCCATGGTCAGCTTGATGCTATGGGCAGAAGATACCAACTAACCGAATCAGGGGCAGCCAGTGGTAGGGATGAGGGCGAGGGTGGGAACATACTGCCTTGTCAAACATTTCGGCTTTAAATCTGACCTAGGGTCTGGCCTAGATGCTGGTTGGACTCAGCTGGCATCATGAAGGTGCCACTTGGGCAGTCATGGGGATTTCGCACTTGGAAGGAAGTCAGAATTGGTTTAATGCTTTCTGTTGACATCTTGAATTTTTTCCGATTTGTTCCTTGTTTGAAACAGAGTCTCTCTGTGTAGTCACCTGGGCTTAGATTCACAGTCCTCTTGCCTGAATCTTTTGAGTGCTGGGATTACAGCTGTGGGCTACCATGCCCACCTTTGGCTTTTTTCGTTCTTTTTCAACAAGTGGCTTTATATTTTGCTTTTGCATTGGACCTGCAAACCACAGCATGTCCTGAACAAACATGGCTAGATCTGAACCAGGGCTGGACTGTGGAGGACATAGAGTCTTAAAGGAGCATCCCCCAGCAAGCCCGGGGGCACTGTGGGTAAGTGATAGAGCAGACCCCAGATGCTGGAGCTGGGAGAGTTGGGGCAGCACCTCAAGGTGTGCTCAGGGTAGGAGATCTGATAGGACCCAGGGCCGGGAGCATTCATGGTCTAGCCCAGAAGTAGCTCTAAGAGAATAAGACCACGATGAAGTTTCCAAGTCTGCTGCTGCCCACACCCCAAAGCCCTGGGGCCTTTTGTTTGAGCTGTTCCCTACAACATCCTTTGGTAGCACCGTGGCACCCAAGTCAGGTGAACCTCTATGCTTCCCTGGAGACACTTGGGTGGGTACCAGAGAGTGGTGCTGGGAATCACTTTTGTTTTAACTCCTACCTAAGAAACTCTTCTGAGACCACCTGAACTGTGGAGACAACAGCTCTTTCCTGAAGGCTACAGCATGCTCCAAGACACTTTTAGGAGGAACGCAGCTTAGCATCCCCTGCTGCATGACTCTGGCCACTGGGATCCTCTTTCTGGCTACCATCTGTTGACACACTTCATCTATACTTTTGTCTAAAAGCTTCTAGCCAGGGATTCGTTCCTCCCTCTTGCTTAGACCATAAACTATTTGAGGGCAAATATTAGGTTCTCAAACTTTTCCATCCAATACAGAAAGTTGTACTTTGATGACAAAACCATACAGCAAGATAACAATTATATATATATATATATATATATATATATATATATATATATTTGAGACAAGGTCTCATATGTTCTATGCTAGCTCCAAACTCGTTATGTAGCTGAGAATGATCTTGAACTTCTGATCCTCCTGCCTCCGTCTTTCTCATGCTAGGATTATAGGCATGTACCACCATACTTAGAGTATGTGTGCTGGCGATGAAACCCAGTTTCATGCACGCTTGCACACACTCTACACATTGACTGATGGGCTAGCAGTGCTGGCATTCTGACATTAAGAAAGCTTCCAGCCAGGCGGTGGTGGTGCATACGTTTAATCCCAGCACTCAGGAGACAGAGGCAGGCGGATCTCTGTGAGTTCGAGGCCAGCCTGGTCTACAAGAGCTAGTTCCAGGACTGACTCCAAAGCCACAGAGAAACCCTGTCTCGAAAAACAAAAAAACAAAAAACCAACCCACCCCCCAAAATATACCCCCTCAAAAAAAAAAAGAAAGAGAAAAAAGAAAGCTTCTAACTGGGTGTGGACTCATGCCTTTAAACCCAGCACTTGGGCAGGAGCATCTCTGTAAGTTCAAGGCTAACCTGGTCTACAGAATGAGTTCCAGGACAGCCAGGGATACACAGAGAAACCCTGTCTTGAAAGACAGAGAGAGGAAGAGAGAACTTCTGAAATGCTTTGCCATTCTAACCCAAAGAGACAAAGAGAGGACTCTCCATTGAAGAACCAAGAGGGGATGCGGAACCTCATTCTCTGCCTGCCCTCTCCCTCTGGTATCTGTTAATGGCACCACATAGAAGACAATAAAAGTCTAAAAGCACAGGCACCTGTACATTGGCCTGTGTCCTACAATCCTCGCAGAGGGACTCCCAAGCTGTGCCCTCTCCCTTGACACAGAATATCTAAAATCCCAAGCAGGACCTGGACAGCAGGCACCTCCTGTCTACTCACCAGGTCCTCCAGGTTGTTATAGGTGCTGAAGTCCGTGTCCAGGGTTAGTGGGTAGTTCATAGCTGCAGTCCTGCGTCACCAGACTGCTCACACCACACTGATGCTGAGAAGCTCTGTGCTGGTGCCTATGGAGAGGTGGCAGGCGTCAGCTGCAAATTTAAACAAATGAGCTGCATGCTGTCTCCTGGGGCTGTGGAGGGCTTGCCAGCCTCTCAACTCATCATTTTTTTTTTCCACTGGGTCTTTTCTGTTTTGTGTGTGTGCGTGTGTGTGTGTGTATGTGTGTTTTTCCTTTCTTTTTTCTTTCTTTAAAGAAAAAGGGAAACTCCCCCACAGCATCAGCACTAGTCAAGCTTTTCAGCATCTTTCCTGGCAGCTGTGGTCTGAAGTGGGCCAGGGGTCTGAGGTGAAGGGCCGCCTTTCACTCCTGCTCACTGGCTCTCTATGAGGGAGGCACACAGACTTGGGAAACTCCTTACAGAAAGGGACAAGAAAAGAGTGTTTCTAGCCACCTCTAGGTCTTCACTTTTCTCGTCATGGGGGTGACCGACCATACCAGTTTGCCCAGAACCAAAAGGAAGTCCCCTGTCCTGGGAAACCCCTCAGTCCTAGGCAAGCCAAGGCACTTGATCAACTTGTTACTGCCATCCATTGGCCCAGCCAGGAAGGAGTACCCCCTCCCCTTACCTTTTCAGCTCAAATGTGGAAGAGATAAGCTAGAAGTTTTCAAGGGGAACAACCCTAAAATAATACTAGAAGACCAAGAAATGAAATTACCAAATGAAAACACAACATAAACAGAGCTAAGGAGCCATGTTCTGACTCAGAAATAACGATGTTCCGCCCACAAACAAACTTGTAGACAGTCTGGCTAGAAAGGACCTAGACTACCCCTCCCTCCAATTTTACACAAGAGGTCCCTGTAGGAGAGAGAGAGAGAGAGAGAGAGAGAGAGAGAGAGAGAGAGAGAGAGACTTATCCAGGATCCTATGACACATCCATGGCAGCCATCTTGCATCCAAGGGTCCTGACTCAATATTTATCATCCTCTGATCCCCAAGGCAGCTGGTTTACAGACTCACAGCAGCACCTGCTCTTCCTCCTGCTCTGTCCTGCTACCCTAAATGGCACTTCTTTCATGAAGACCTGTGGCAGACATTGATCCATTTCCCCTCCAGGTGGGTTTTTCTTCTACGGCGGTCTCGTTTCCTGACTTGGTCCACAATAGTGTAGGACTGGACCCAAAGGCGCCTACATATGACATACTGGCGTGTTTTGTTTAGGTTTTGTGTGGGTATGTCTGTGTGTGTTTTGTTTTGCTCTGCCCCAACTTTGTAACCATCCTCCCCTTCCAAGCCCAATCCCTACCACTGTGTGGCAGGCTGTTTCTCTACTCTGCCATTGCCATCACCCTGCCCCCAACCCCAGGTAAATCACCTTTCAAGGGGATCCTATCCTGACCAGGGTTCCCCTTCGCCATCTCCAGAGCCCAGTCTCCCCTTTTCCAGCCTGCACACCTTGGTTATAGTTCCCACCCTGTCCGCAACATAAAAAACATCTTCCTGAAGGTTTAAAGTGGAAAGACTTTTAAGCTCCATTTGGACCGTCTCAGTCTCTCCCCTCTTGTTCCCTACCAATAGAAACTGCTCTTTAAAAAATTATTGAGTTTTTATTTATTTTAGTATGTGTGTGTGTGTGTGTGTATGTGCACATGTGTGTGTGTTCTTGTGCATGCGTATGTGGGAGAGAGCGAGCGAGCACCTGAGGAGGCCAGAGGGCAGCTTGTGAGGGTTGGTTCTCTCCTTCCACAGTGTGGGACCTGGGGATCAAACTCAGGTGGCCAGACTTCTTGGCGACAAGTGTCTATCTGCTGAGCCATCTTGCTGGCCCCAAAACCTTCCCTTGAGGAAGAAGATGGCCAGGACAAGGGGCTGGAGCTCTTGGCTGGTACTTCTAGTCCAGTATCCTTCTGGGACACTGTCTCAGTGCCTCCTGGGTCTGGAAATGACTAAACAGTATTTGTTCTTCCAACGCTACCCCACGTCGTCTTGCTCCTCCAGCCTGTACGCAGGGTAGCTTTTGCTGCCTTGAACACTCTGCACAGAAAAAAAATACAGAACATGAGACTCTCCTAGGCATGGGAAAAGACTTTGAAAGACAAGCCAGTCACCCCTCACTCTATTCCTACCCCCAGGGAATGCAAGAATAGAAGTCACTGCATCTTCATCAAACAACCAGCCACGGAGTGAGAAAGTCACTTTATGGAAATGCTTCTTCAGATGTAAGGGTGAATTTCTGTCACCATAGCGCTCGTGTGTGTGTGTGTGTGTGTGTGTGTGTGTGAGGGGAGTAAGGCAGAAGGATTGTGAGTTTGAGGCTAAAGTGGACTATGTGGTTAGACCCATCCAAAAAAAAAAAAATGAAAAAAAAGAAAAGAAGAAGAAGAAGAAGAGGGAGGGATCTTGTTTCAGAGTGGGAAGGTTTTAGTATTTAGGGTTAGAAACTGACTCTTCACGCTGAGTCAAAAGGTATCTTCTTGCGATGTCCCAGCAGTCCTAGGGCCTCACACAGGACCATGCAGAACGTCTCCCAAGTGACCTCTGCCTACAGACATCATGTGCTTGTGAGTCTCCTGTTTCGCAAACCCATATTCTAATGTCTTCAACTAGTTTTCAAAGAACTGATTTCTGGGTCCCTTATCAGTCTGATTTTTGACCTCTGGGTGATTTCCGGTCAGTAGTCCAGGAAGTCTGTGGCTAAGATAAACTCTAGGAAACTGAGTTTCCTTGTTAAACGTATCTAGTTGCAATTAGCATGACCATTCCTGTGGGCTCCTTTTCCTCTTAGTGGGCTTCATGCTGATGGTTCTAACCTATCATTTGATTTTATAACGGGAAACTTGTTGCCTGTGGACGTGATGACAACATAGAAAAGCCATCCTTGGGTGTAGCCATGTCTTGATAGGAGCTCTTAGCGGGACAAAGCCAAAGCCAGCATCCTGCTTCATATCACTGGACACCTCAAAGCTCTGAGAAGACGTCATAGAATAGGACCCAAGCTGGGAGTCCTATTAGGGAGGGGCATGATGGAGGGAGTGACGATGAGGATGGAGGGCTGCATTAGAAAGTGTGTGGATCCGGGCGGTGGTGGTGCACGCCTTTAATCCCAGCAATTGAGAGGCAGAGAAGGGCAGATCTCTGTGCATTTGAGGCCAGCCTGGTCTACAGAGTGAGTGAGTTTCATGACAAGCTCCAAGGCTATACAAAAAAAACCCCTGTCTCGAAAAACAAAACAACAACATAAACAAAACCAAAACAAAACAAGACTTGATTCCCATCGTGGGCCACCATTAAGAGGCGGTAGAAGGGAAAAGATGTGGCTCTGTTGGTGAAGGGAGCGCTTGTGGAGAAGCATGAAGCCCTCCCTAGCTTCTGTCCCCAGCGCTGTAAACTGGGAGTGGTGGCACATGGCTCTCAGCCTAGTACTTAGGAGGGAGAAGCAGCAAGATCAGAAATGTAAGGGTTATATAGGGAGTTTGGGGCAGACTGGGACATACCGATCATGCCTTTCACAGAAGAAGGGCCGTAGAACGCCTCGAAGACGTGGTGCTCAGGCCAGCAAGATGGCATACGTAGTGTGTAAAGGCTCTTGCTGTCAAAAGTTCTAGCCATAAGAATCATAAGGTAGGAGAGAGCCAACTCCCACAAGTTGTTCTCTGGCCTGCACGTAAGCGTTGTTGCATGCATGTACGCATGAGCGTAAGTGTGCACACACACTGAACACAAAAGTGAAGGCTATTTTGGCTGTCACCTTGACATAACTTGGGCACATCAATTGAATTTACTCCGTCAGGTTGATCTGCAGCAAGTCTGTGGGGTATTTCTTTTTTCCTTCTTTTTTTGGTTTATTTTTATTATTTTATGTGTCTGAGTGTTTTGCCTATTTGTAAGCCTGTATACCGAGGAGGTGGCAAGCCTCCATGAGGGTGCTGGGAATCAAACCTGGATCCTTTGCAAGAACGAGAGCCAAGTCTCCAGCCTCCACGGGTGTTTTATTGATTGTTGGCTGATGTGGGAGTGCCCAACCCATTGTGGGCAGCGCCACCCCTGGGCGGGTGGTCCTGAGAGACATAAAGACAGCTGAACCTGAGCCTGGAAGCCAGCCGATAAGCAGTGTTCCTGCCTGGTTTCTACTTCAGCTCCCGCCTCAGGTTTTTGCGCCAGCTTCCCTGGATAATGGCCTGTGAGACAGAAGTATAAATCGAATAAACCCGTGACGTTTTATCACAGCACCAGACAAGCAAACTAATACAGTATTAAAGATAAATAGGTAGAAATATAGATAGATAAATAAAGAGACAGGGCCTAAAGCAGATAGTGAAGGAACGTGGGTCTGTAATCTTAATGCAGAGAATGGAGTGTTGAGGCAGAAGCAAGACTGTCTCATAAACACAAGCCCAAAACAAAAACAAAAGAAGAGGTGGGCCAAGGGAGGTTCTGGCCAAGGTAATCCCCTCTCCACACACCATCGCACAGATGGGCCTCCCTCGCCCCTTGGTTCTGCCATAATCTGCTGCCACAGGCCCAATTAAGTTAGCTGGGGATGGACTGAAACCTGGAAACCGTGAGCCAAGAGGAGCCTTTGTAAGCCTATGCTTGCAGATAGTTGTTACAGCAACAGGAAGCTTTCTGATAGATCACCACAGGCTTTTCAAACCCTCAGAAGAACCGCAGCACTGCCCACGCTGTGGCCCTTGATTTAAAAGATGTGAAGGCAGAAGTTTCACCTATATATTGCAATCAGCTGGGGTGGGGCCCTTCCAGGCAAGGCCGTCCAAATTGTATTTCAGCTTGCTGTTTGTGTAATCCCCACACAACTCATAAGTGTGTGATTTCTACCATGTGGATGCCCTCTGAGGTTGAATGGTTTTTTTTTTTTTCCTCTTGAGACAGGTTTCCCTGTGTAGCTTCTTGAAGTCTGTCTTGGAACTCACTTTGTAGACCAGGCTGACATTGAACTCACAGAGATCCATCTGCCTCTGCCTCCCGAATGCTAGAATT